GTCTTCTGACTTCTCGTTTCAACCATTCTGCCTGAAACCGTCTCCCCTTTGTCGGACCGGGATCGCTTGATCCAATCCACAAAAGGATCGGTCATCGTTTTTCTTTGCTTTTCAGGTATGAATTTCCTAGAGCTATTACCTCGTTTTGGTATCCTTGACTTGTCTAGACTCATTCCCTATTTGTCACTTTTTAATGCCTATACTTAACTCGATTGCTAGAGACCTTATAGTTTTATTAACAATAATAATGACACAACACAATAATTTTCACAAGATTCTATTAAATAGTGACCACGAATCCCTGTATGTAATCAGAGTACAGTTTGTATAAAATTTATTCACACTAACCAATTATCGGTGGTAAGATTTGAAAACTAGCACAATATGATGTTATCAGTCAATTTAAAAGATAGTGTACTCACTACCCAATCAAGCACAGTTTATGTTGATTTAAAATCAAAAAACAAAATATATATTTAATGTCAAACTATGAATACCTCTATGAAAAAAAACGTATGTGTAATGTACTCTTAGTCGGTCGCAGTACAATAGTCGAACCTGTCTTTTAAAGAAAAAGCTTTCCCTGCTCGGTGCTGCACCAAACAGACAAAACTTTGAAGGCAGTAATTTTCTCAAGTGGGCGTCTATTGCACCCACCGAGTACTGTGTTACCAATCTGCCTTCGGACTGCCCGAGCTAGACCTACTGAAATCCTCAGGGCAGTCACTTTTCCCCAAAAACGTATTATGTTACAATCCACACCAATGAATCACGCTCTTTTTAATTTAGACTTAGTGTCGCGAATATCCGAGTTCGGACCTGTTTTATTTTGGTCTGGTTCTTATTGAAAGGCAAGTTACCAGTGCAGTCACTGATACCTAGCCTGTGTGCTAATAACCTAATACCTCTCACTTTTTAGTCTTTCTTTCGTTTACCTAAGTCCTTTAATAAAATAATACCCCTCCGGATTGGCACAAATAGGACCCTTCCGGACTGGCAGAAACTAGACCCCTCCGGATTGGGACCCCTCTGAGTTAGTTGATATAAGACCCCTCCGGATTTGGACCCCTCCGAATTAGCAACTATAAGACCCCTCCGGATTCGGAACCCTCCTAACTTGAAAAAAAATTTTGACCCCTCCGGATTGGGAACCCTCCGGTTTTGTAAAAGTAGCTTTTCGGAGATTTCCTACTTTCAAGCCATACCCCTCCGGATACGTTCTCCGATGCAATTTTGCTCTTTCAATTAACTAGGAAGGGTATGCACTACTTTCCTAGACCCTTCCGGATTGAAGTTAAGCCTCTTATTTGACAATTCACACTAACGGTGAAGGGTCTTACAGCTCGCCTAACTTCGGCTCGCTTAAGCTTTTGCTGTGCCTTTAGCCTTCCCTTTTCGTCTAGAACAGCCTAAAGTTACTTTATTCAACCGCTATTACCTTTTGGTAGGGGTATAAGGGCTTTTCTAAAAATTTTTTGTAAAACGTGAAGGGTGTACCCTTCCAAATTGAGGAATTTGCTAAAAACAATCTCAAAAAATTTTCACGCTTTATTTTCCGAAAAACTTTTGTCCCTATCAGTAAGCTCAGCTAATTTCTGATCTATTGGTACCAAGATCAACTCGATATGCCCAGTAGTTCCAAAGTTATTAACCAAAACGTCTTTTTTCTAAACTCAAAAATTTTTCTCTCTTATAGGTTCCGCGTAACTTTTTCCGCAAATCAGGTCCTTTCGAACTAAAAATTATTGATCCGAGCTCAGAAGGCCTATACTCTTCTATTTCAATGCAAAAGACCCGATCTAAAACGCTTTTGCTGAAAAAATTTGCGAAAAACTATGCTACCTGTACCCCTCCGGATTGATGAATCCACCAAATCAAACACGTTAAGTTCGATTTCTCTGCAACCCGGAAGGCTTTCGGGTAGCGGGTTTTAAAACTTGTAGATTCACTAGTGGATGTTGTCCGAACAACTATTTTTACTGTTGTAACTCAAAAATTTAAAAAAAAAATTTTAAATTTATAGTGTTTCGTTTTCTCAAAAATCACCAAATTTCGGTTCTCGGTACCAAAGTAGTTCCAACCACTTTCGAACTAAACTTAACCGGTTCTCTCTATTATGGTAGTGCAGTTACGATGTAACACACTAACTTAGTGCTTTTTTCCGTTTCAAAAAATATCGATATTTCAAAAATCGCGACTTGTGGGGGGATCAAAATATCGCTATTTTGACCCTAAAAACCGGTCTGTTTTCGTTGTTTTTCACTGAAAAACGATATAAGACTATTAATATAGGCTATATAATTAATAATATTAGTAATACTATACCCCTCCGGGTTTGTTTAATATCCGAATTAAGGTGCTTAACTCGGATATTCGCAGTTCGGTGAAGGGTCACTACAGTGCAGCACTGTCGAGCCCCCCACAGATTATTATCTTACTTTTTGTACCAAAAGGGATACAAAACTTGTTAACGATACCCAACAGTCGATTGTTGTTGTCGTTGAGCCCCTTCTTGTTGCTCCTTTTACTGCTTGCCGGATCAGTCTTCTCCCAAGACCCTTCCGAATTGAGCGCAAATCAGCTGACCCTTCCGGATTGAGCGCAATTTATCATTAACGTGCTTAAATGCTCAAATAACCCTACAGTACAAGCCTCACAAACGGGCTACAAAACTGATCGTAACAATCCTGACTGATATAAATGCCTGTAACAACAATATATCTATCAAAAACAAACGGGGGTGTCGGATCACATCTTGTCTGGGGGGATGATTTCTACTGATTTTTTACTTTTTTTTTTACTGTTTTTGGTTTTTTCGGTTATTTTTTATGTTTTTTGTTTTTCTTGGGTACTATACTACTTTTTGTTTGGTTTTATATATATCTTTAAGTGTTTTTGGTCACAAACCATTCAGGAGATGACGGGACCGCGAATCCCCCCACCCTTCCTGGTTCGTGAATTTTCGGTCTTAATTAAGTTAAACAGCTATTCACGGTAATCCGGAAGGCTTCCGCGTTCCGAACTACCCTTCCGCCCCGGCGGTTTAGGCCTATTAAGGGCGTTAATGTGAGCATCCGCTCGGCGCGGAGTGCTCGTTAACGGTTCTGCCGGTCATGATGTTAAAAAAGAATAACACCCAGGAGCGCCATAAAAACATCTATGTAACATTCGCCCGGAAGATACATATCGACGGAAGACAAAACTAAGTCTTAAGACGACTGGCTAACGTCTAAACAGAGCTTTGCATGCTTTTCACCGTCTCTACCAAGCCAGTACTTTTCGGTGGTCTTTCTAACATCGGGTCGACAAAAACGTTACTGCTTTCGGCTTCGGTCAAAACACTCAAATTAACTAGATTACATGCAGAAATAGTGAGCTCATGGCTGGGTCTCAGTATCCCCAGACTACGAGTTCACTCCTAAAAACAGGGCTACTACTATTTATTATCTTACTATTGTTTTTGTTCAGTAGATAAAAATCATCATCTCCATCGAAGATGGATCAACCCTTTCCCCCAACTCCTAGCTTCTCATCCTTATCAAAATGAATCTAGATGTTAATTAAATTCAAATCAGGACATGACAGGAAGCTAAAAGTTTATGTAACAGGATAAAAGTTTCAGTTCCTTCACCCCTCCGGATTGACAAATCTGGTGGATCAAGCTTGTTAATCCTGATTTCTTCTTAATCCGGAAGGCCGTCTTTCACCCTTCACCGTTGTTTGCAACGGCCTTGCAACTATTGTAGCGACACAATGGTTGCAACTCGGAGTGTTCTCTGTTACTCTGTAACTCGTTGTCGTTTTCCAATCTCGATTTCGTAGTTGTTGTTAGCGCAGCTAATGTTGTTCTGTTTTTCTTTCTCGTTTTAGCGAAAATGGCCTTTTCTGACGTTTCTCAGAAATATGACGTCATAATTCGAATTTTTGAAATTTTAAAATACCAGAATATTCCAGCCCTCACCGTTTGGCCAATCGTTCCAATAACGTTCTTAATTCTTAATAATCACCAATCCGGAAGGCTCGCTGCTAAAAATTCAAATTCTGCAGAGATTGCATTTTTCACATTCTGGTCGAATGTCACAGTGTGGTTGGTACCAAAAACCCACTGACACCGGTACCATTCTAAATTTCAGAGGCTGCGCAGTACAAAAGAAACGTTATTGAAGGGACGGTTCAATGGGTTTTCAGAATTTCCTCAACGTGGGAGTATTTTGACCTGGCTTTGAAAAAAAATCGGAAACTATGGATTGAAAATCAATATCCAAAAAATTGGTCTGACAGGGTAGTGTTTGAAACTCTTAACAAGATCATTGAGGAAAAGAAAAATTTAGAGGTGAAGGCATCAGAACCGAGAAATGACAAATGGTTGAAAGACTCACCACCCCTTCTTACAATGGAATATCGAGGCAATCCATCTCAACTGTTAGCTGCAAAGGTTCGGCTATTATCCGTGGCACAAATAATTTTTACAACAAGAAAATTGAAAACATGCTTGCCATCCCTCAAAACTTCCTTTGCTCGTGAACAGATCCAAAGTGGTGTACAAGCTTACATGTAGTGGATGTAACTGCACCTATGTCGGTCAGACAGTCCGACATTTAGCCACGAGGGTCGATGAACTCCGCAAAGGGGACTCCCCATTAGGACAACACTTGTTAGAATGTAATAAGGAGGTAGGCTGTACTGCTGAGCTGAAGTCAGAGATTATAGACCAAACAGCCAACACTCATAAGCTACTCCAATCCTCACTTCTCAAATTCTTGTAGTGCTATGACGTTTTTCATATTTCAAAAACTTAGATTTTAAAAAATTACAAAACGTTGAAGATATCAATCCTGTTATTGGAATTCGTGAGGGTACTCTCAGGGTGTTGCGAATCTTTCCTTTGAATATGGCTGCTCGTGAGGGAATAAAGTATATTATTTATTAATATATATTTTGTCGTGTCGAGTTGCGTGTGCTTATTGAAGAAACGTAACCTGTACCTTTTAACCTTTTAGCCTAATTGTTGTGATAAACTTATTAAATAGATTTGTTATGTTTGATGTTTGTGCCTGTGTGTGGAGCGCCCTCTGAGGGATTTTAGAGACAGGTCTGTCAAGTGGCTTTCTGTGGGGAGGTGGGGAACTGGAACTGGCTTGAGAAGTCTGGTGGTGCGCCGCTGAACCTACTGAGCTCGGGTGAGATTGTTCCTTGTTTTTGATTTTTAACCTTTATGCTGCCTTTTAACCTTTTAAATTAATTTAGTTGTCTTTTTTTTTTTTTTATTTGCTGATTTCTAAAATTCCCACTAACCGCTTATCATGGGTTAGTTCAGTCCCCTGAAGTCCAGTCAAAATCCTTTTTTTTTTACCTTTATGCTGCGTCAAGATGAGGAAAAACAACAAAGAGTGTACAAGCAAAGATTGCTTAAAACCTTCAGGACTGATAAATTGGATTAAATGTGATTGTTGTTCTAGTTGGTATCATATCAGTTGTGTAAAAATTTCTCTTAGCGACTCTAAGAAAACCCAATGGTTTTAGTGTCCTTTATGCGTTGATGTAAAATCTGTTAATAAAGCAACAATAGGTAATGATTTAGTGCTAGACAATTATGTTAATACAGCCATCTCAAATGTCCGAGTACTCAAGAGAGTACCAAAAGACTCGCGTGTTCCCTTGGCGGAAAATCTGTCGGACAAAATAAATGACATCGTCTACATGTAGAAGATGTTACAAAATGGCTAATTTTTTTAACGTCGTTCTTGTTTTTTTTGGAGCAACCGAAAAGAAGTGGACGCAAACAGACCACAAGCATGAGCTCTTTGATAAATAAAAAAATTCGAGCAAATGACGTGTCACTTCCAAAACCCCATCCCCAAGTTTCAAGCCCGCCTCTGAGTGACCTCGAGCAGAGAATAAAGTTAATAAGTAGTAAGCTCGATGAAGGAAATGTAAAGGGAGGAATAAGGCTTGCTGCTTCGGATGACAAAATAGCTCCTTTTTCAACTGATAACTATCAAAAATTGTTATCTAAGCACCCACAGCGAGCCAAATTTGCAGCTCCAAATCCAGAAAAGTTGGATAGTTTTTTCGTAACCGATTTCGACCTATACAAAGCGATAATGTCCTTTCCAATTGAATCAGCAGCAGGTCCTGATAAAATATTTCCTCAAATTTTTAAAGATCTTGTTAGTAAGTCGAATGGCAGTGCAGGACTTAATTTTCTGAAATCGCTTACTAAGCTGATAAACCTCATTGGAGATGGCAAAATACCGGAACCACTAAGACCTTTCTTTTTTGGCGCAAAGCTTATCGCCCTCATAAAAATAGACGGAGGGTTGAGACCGATTGCCATAGGCAACACGCTGAGACGTATCGCGTCTAAATGCGCTGGAAGCAAGGCCCTCTCCGAGCGACAAAATTTTTTCGGAAACGTACAGGTAGGATGCGGTACCAAACGAGGAGCAGAAATAGCTGCGCACTCGTTTCGAAACCTAATTGAACGCGACGACAATCCAAAATGTACTGTTCTTTTAAAACTAGATTTTAAGAATGCCTTTAACTCTTTAAACAGAGAAACAATGCTGAATCATGTTTTTTTCAAATCGCCCCGAATTATATAATTACACCCATTGCGCGTATGCTAAACCTAGTTACCTTTTTTTACGGAAGCTCTGTCATAATGTCAGAAGACGGAACTCAGCAAGGTGATCCTGAAGCCTCATACACTAGTCAAACAGTTGGAGTCGAAAATTAACATCTGGTATTTAGATGATGGGAATTTAGCCGACGACTATAAGGTAGTACTCCGGGACCTTAAAAACATCCTGAAATCGGAACAAATTTACGGCCTGAGCTTAAACACTGAGAAGAGTGAACTTTGTTTTTTGGGACCGACTACTAGTACACAGTATAATTCAATTTTAACACAATTTCGAAAAATATGCCCCAAAATAAAAATAAAAACAAAAGAAGAACACCTCATTTTAGGATCTCCAATCGGCGAACTTTGCCGAAAAGAATTACTCGACGAAAAAATTAGGGAGCTTGAAAAAATCTCGGATGTCATTGACAAACTAGACGCCCATTATGGTTTTTACCTCCTGAAAAATTGCTTTAGCATGCCAAAACTCCTATATTTTTTGCGTACGAGCCCTTGTTTTTTGCAAAATGATTTTTTGGAACGCTACGATAAATTACTAAGAAATTCGTTATGCAAGGTCACTAACGTGAAAATGGATGATAACCAGTTTTTACAAGCAGTTCTCCCGGCAGCCAAAGGTGGCTTGGGCGTTTCTTCCGCTCGTCTACTCGCTTTACCCGCTTTCTTAGCCTCAGCAGTAGGAGCGAAAGATGCCTTGAGCGAAATCTTTGGTTTGGAGCATGTGGATGGAACCTATGATGATGCGCTTAAACGGTGGTTTGACCTTGGAAAAATTGAAATGGCTCCGGAAAATGAAATCCAAAAAAATTGGACGGAGCCAATTTTTGACAGCGAAATTGCAGACTTGATTTTACGACTCGAACCAACGGACGTGAAAAGGTTCAACGCGTTCCAAGATAGATTTGGATCCCAATGGTTGAACGTCATCCCCTGCAAAAATTTAAGGTTGAAACTGTCGAACCAACAACTCAGAATTGCGATAGGACTTCGATTAGGATCAAAAATATGCGAACGGCATAAATGCGTGTGCGGAAAAGACGTTACCGAGGATGGTTGGCATGGTCTTTCTTGCCTCAAAAGTGCAGGGAGATTCTCTAGGCATTCAAACCTGAATGCCCTTATAAAGCAGAGTCTATCATCTACTCACATTCCGTCTGTTTTAGAACAACGACACCTCTACAGGACCGATCAGAAGCGACCAGACGGTTTGACGCTCGTTCCATGGGCTGATGGTAAGCAGCTCTTGTGGGATGTAACGGTAGTAGACTCCTTAGCTCCTTGTAGGATTAATGCCGGGTCTGTTTGTAACCCTGGTACGGCTGCCGCTGAAGCGGAAGAGCGAAAAATTGACAAATATAAAGATCTTGTAAATGATGGATATCTTTTTCAACCGCTAGCTTTTGAAATTCAGGGCGCGGCCGGCCCCAGCGCAGAAGTTTTTTTGAGCAAGCTTTGTAAGAACCTAAGCATATGCACTGAGGAACCCAGAGCAGGCAGCTTTTTAAAACAGAGAATCTCCCTGGCAATACAGATTGCGAACGCCGCTTGCGTACTCGGAACAATAAATGACAAAATAACTTTCGACGAAATTTTTTACTTGTAACACTTGTATATTATATTATCTCGTGTCGAGTTGCGTGTTCTTATTGAAGAAGCGTAACCCGTATCGATTTTAAATGAAAAGGACTTAAACACTTGACATCTTCTTTTATCATTATCACTTCCATATCTAGAAAATTCCAAGGATTTTGACTGGAATACATGATGAAGGGACTCATGACTGTAACCTCGGTTACTATGATACTTTTGACCTTCTGATTACCGTATCGAGTTTAATTAGAAACACATCAACACTAGTCATCTCCTTTTATCATTATCATTTCCTTATCTAAAAAATTCCGAGGATTTTGACTGGATAATGTGATGAAGGGACTCCTGACTGTAACATCGGTCACTATGATACTTTCGACCCTCTGATTATTTTAGTAAAGAAAAAAAGTTGAATAGCACTTTAAAATGGCACATGTTTGTTGCTGAGGTTTGTATTAATCATCCGAACGAAACATTTCTCTCCTTTTTAGAGAAACTGCATAATGGTAGGGTCTTCAATGCAGCCATCCAAATGTTATTATGAACTGCTTCAAGTCGAACAAACAGCTACTGATGATGAGCTGAAGAAGTCGTACAGAAAATTAGCTCTTAAGTTGCATCCAGGTAAGATGTAAAAAATACTGAAAAAAGAGGTTCTAGAATAGACCACAGTCTCAAAATTGCTTAGTCAGAAAAAAGTGGATATCAGAGGCTTAATTTTAATTTTCGTTGAAATATAAATTCATTTTTTTGAATGTAAGTCGTGCCTCAACTTGTTTCAGACAAAAACCCTGATAATGAAGAAGCTCAAAAGCTGTTTCAGGAGCTTCAAGAGGCATATGAAGTATTGAGTGATCCACAAGAACGAGAATGGTATGACAGACACAGAGAAGTCCTTTTGTATGGAGGTGATGTTGCATTTTAGAATTTATTTAACTTAGTTTTAAAATGGCAGGATGACATAAGTTCTGTTTGCAGGTGATGATTACCAAGATAAGCTAACTCAAAAACTCTTGAATTACTTCAGACGACAATGCTTCAAAACGTTTGGAGATGCTGACGACGTAAGATTTCAATAAGTTACCGATGATTTTATCGAGTCAATGAAGAGATGTCCATTTCACTCGAAAATTGATTTCAGGATTTCTATGCAGTGTACCGGAAAGCATTCGAAGAAATTAGCACAGAAGAGGCCAAATTTCCGAGGAACTCAAGCGACTACCAGAACAAGAAGAGTCAGAAAAATCGCAACGTGGATGAGGCACAGAAACCACCTGATTTTGGCACTTCGTCTGACAGTTCTGAAAAAGTTAGGTCTTAATACGTGTAATCGCTGTATTTTCTAAGTATGAGTTGTACTGATTGTTTCTAAACTTCTCACGAAAGTTTATGTACTGCTATAAAGTGGGCAATATTTCAACAAAGCTTAGTCTAGATCCTTGATCCTACGCGCTTTGAACTGAATTTAAAACTGCTGGAGTGTTTGGAAGACGCTTTTAGATGATATGTGAATTAGAATTGTTAATTATAATAATAATACAGATTGTTAATATCAACTATTCTTATCTAAAAATTTTATTCAGTCAATGGTTGCAGAATGGCGACAAGGCGTTTGGAATCACCATCATTCATCTCAGAAAACAAGAATTTTTCTGAATACAAACGAGATCTGGAGAGATGGTCAAGATTGACGTCAATCAAGGCCGAATTGCAGGCAGAAACTATTATTTATATGTTGCAAGATCATCCGTCTCGTATTAAAGAAAAGATCGATACAAATCTCAGCGACGAATTTGTTGAAAACAAGGATGGAATCCAGTTGTAACTTCAGTTTCTGAGTACTATTTGTGGTGATGACGATATCAGTGATGCATATCGGAAATATGTCGCTTTCAAAGCCAAAAAGCGCCCAAAAAGTGAGCAAATGAACGAATTCGTTGCTGAGTGGGAAACACTTTATTACAAGTGCAAAAATGCTGATTGTGAACTTCCAGATATCGTGCTTTCTTTTGAGCTCCTGGAAGCAGCTCAGTTAGATGAAAGAGAGACACAGCTCGTTCTTACCGGAGTGGACTATCAAACTGGTAAAGTACAGAGGAAACTTCTCAAACAGATGAACGCCTCTTTGAAGAAGTTAAAAGGAAAACTTGCTGTATTTACTGATAATAGCTCGGTGGATTCGCAGCAAGTCATCAAAACGGAATCAACTTATATCAGTCAACAAATGGAAACTACGTTAGTTGCAAACGGCTGGAAGAAGCCACTGAAATGTAGTCATTCACCCACAAAACGTTCTGATCAGGGGAAGAAGTATCTTGGAAAGAAGAATTCTCTTAGAAGAGACGGAAAACCGATAAAGTGTTTTGCTTGTAAATGTGAGAACACGACCACCTGTACGTGCACACGTGTTTATCATTTGGCAGATCAATACAAGAAAAACGGCGACTACAAAAATTCAAGTTACCAGAGGAATGATTACAAAACCACCTCGTTATCAAGTGATGCTAGATCTGATCTTGGATTGTTTATGTCTGTCAATATTCCTGACATGGAAGGTTTCCAGGATTCCGATTAACTTTGCCTGGTTTCTTGGAATTTTTCTGAGACGTGCTACTTCACTTCCGGAAAAAGTTTCAGAATGATTCTAGGTTGTGCTTGTCTAACTAGGAGGAATGAAAATGGATTTGTGATTTTTTTCTCGTGTTTGAGTTATGATCAGAAGCAGAATTTCGAAGTGTATGATACTCAGAGGGTTTATCGCTTTGGAGGCGGAGAAGTGCGTCACTCGAAATACAGCGTGAAGTTCCCGTGCGTCATTGGCGGCCGTTTGCTCAAATTGAGAACAAATCATCGAAGAGGATCTGACAATTCTCCTTGGCAATTCTTCTTTGAAATTGGCATGCACCGTTATTGATGTCGTTCTGCGGAAGTTTTCATTTTTCGGCAATGAAATGGACTTGTCAGAAGAGCCATCAGGCCATTTCAGCATAGAAATATCGCCTCCACCGCAGCAATTACCAGAAACTGCAGTTAAATTAGTTGCAACTAGTAAAGAGTAAACGGAGAAAGAAATATGGCGTCTACACCACTATTTTGGACATGCATCAGTCGAAAAACTCACGGGACTGCTCAAAAACGCTGGGAAATTGAGTACTGAGGCGAAGGGTTTCCTTGAAAAAATTCGTGATTGCGAGAGTTGTCTGCTTAACGCTAACAAGAAGCCGAAACCAAAAATTGCCCTTCCTCGTGCTACTGAGTTCAACGAATAAGTCAGTTCGGACCTGAAAGCTTATGGCAGCGAAGGAAAATATGCCTACATTCTTAATGCTGTAGATCTGTTTTCGAGGCTCACCGTGGCTATGTTCATCAACAATAAGGATTGCGGTATCTGTTGGTGAAGCCCTCTTGCGTTTTTGGATATCCCAAGCCGATCCAGGACCAGTGAAAACACTCCATACTGATAGAGGACGAGAATTCCTCAATGAAGAACTGACGTCTATTGCAGAATACCTCCAAATCAAGCAGACCTCTATTGCAGCATACAGTCGGAATGCCAATGGGTGCAACGAGCGTAATCATGCCGTGGTCAACAGAATGATAATCTAAATGTTAACATCTGATCCGGATATGAAAGCAGAAGTTGCATTAGCTTGCTGAATTAACGCTTAAAACACCCTCCAGAACGTAAACGGGTTCTCTCCTGCACAAATAGTTAGTGGACGGAATCCGAAGTTGCTCACACTTCTCTCAGCGGGTCCTCCAGGCCTCGAAGAGGTCTCAGTATCAAAAGCACTGGCCCAGCATATTGATCATTGAGTCAGAATCCGACTGTTCTCTCATATCCGCTCTGAAGGAACGTATTTTCAAAGGGGCTGGAGATATCAGCGTTGGAGACTGGATTTATTACAAAAATGCAAGTATATGGGAAGGTCTTGTTAAAATACACTCTCAAGACGGTAAATTACTTTATTCAGTGCGTGCAAACAAACTTCTGACAATAAATTCTCACCATGTTATGTTAGCAAAGGCTGACGACGTTTTTTGGCGTAAGAAACGAGCCTGTGGAATTATCTACTGAGAAGACAGCTACATAAAATCGTGTTTCTGATGTTCAAAGCAATCGAGAACCAAGAACTGTAACCTCTGACCCATTAACAGAAGCATTGAGTGATGATTTCGATAATCCAAGTTCGAGTGATTTGCCTAAAGTCAGTTGCGATTCAATTAAAGATTCCGTTCTCCTTGAACCGACTAATAAAGCGCCTGAAACACCAGTAGAGTCTATGGTTTCAACACTCAACTATGTTAATTTTTCTTCATTGAGTGCATAAAATATGAAAAAGAGCGATTTGATCCGATTCAAACTTGAAAATTCAGATAAATTCATCACAGCCAAAGTTCTGAGTCGAGCGGGTAAGAAAATCGGAGTAAATCGTTATTGGTGGAATTTGGCTGATCATGGCACAGGTCACGTTCTTCCCGAGAATTTAGAGCTGGTAAACCAACTACAGAGACAAGAAAACCTACCATGCACTGACACCTTTTCGGTCAATGTTCCACGCTGGCTTCATGGAACTGTCGTGATCAAAGAAGCAAAAGAGGCTGAATTAGCTAACTTTGACAGATTTGACGTTTACGACGAAGCATCGAGCGTTGGCCAGACGTGATTAGGCCTTCATTGGGTTGTCAACGAAAAATTACAAGACGACAAAGTTATCACCAAAGCCAAATTGACAATTTGGGGTGATCTTGAGGACTCCTCCTTGTTTGCGAAAGATTCCCCAACTGTGCGGAAAGGAAATATCCGAATTTTGTTAGCAGTAGCTGCGAAAAACGACTGGTTGATCAAGTCCAGTGATGTCACAAGCGCATTTCTCCAATCTGCGCCTATTGAGCGTAACGTCACACTTCAGCCACCGAAGGAGCTGAGGTTTCCAGGGATACTAGGGCAACTGAGATGGCCGGTATATGGACTATGTGACGCTTCACTGACGTCTATTGCAGAATACCTCCAAATCAAGCAGACCTGTATTGCAGCATACAGTCCGAATGCCAATGGGTGCAACGAGCGTAATCATGCCGTGGTCGACAGAATGATAATCTAAATGTTAACATCTGATCCGGATATGAAAGCAGAAGTCGCATTAGCTTGCTGAATTAACGCTTAAAACACTCTCCAGAACGTGAACGGGTTCTCTCCTGCACAAATAGTTAGTGGACGGAATCCGAAGTTGCTCACACTTCTCTCAGCGGGTCCTCCGGGCCTCGAAGAGGTCTCAGTATCAAAAGCACTGGCCCAGCATATTGATCATTGAGTCAGAATCCGACTGTTCTCTCATATCCGCTCTGAAGCAACGTATTTTCAAAGGCGCTAGAGATATCAGCGTGGGAGACTGGATTTGTTACAAAAATGAAAGTAAATGGGAAGGTCTTGTTAAATTACACTCACAAGACGGTAAATTACTTTATTCAGTGCGTGCAAACAAATTTCTGACAATAAATTCTGACCATGTTATGTTAGCAAAGGCTGACGACGTTTATGGCGTAAGAAACGAGCCTGCGGAAACATCTACCGAGAAAACAGCTACACAAAACCGTGTTTCTGATGTTCAAAGCAATCAAGAACCAAGAACTGTAACCTCTGACCCATTAACAGAAGCATTGAGTGATGATTTCAATAATCCAATTTCGAGTGGTTTGCCTAAAGTCAGTTGCGATTCAATTAAAGATTCTGTTCTGCTTGAACCGACTAATAAAGCGTCTGAAACACCAGTAGAGTCTACGGTTTTTAACACCCAACTGTGTTATTTTTTCTTCGTTGAGGGCAATATTCGCATTTGGGATTGATAACGATTTTGGTTTTCGATATGTTGGCCTGCATATCGAGCAGGTTGCTAAGGATATTAATTTGGACCAGAATCACTATTTAGAAAGCTTAGAGGTATCCGATTTCCAAGAATTGAGTAGCGCTCAACTGGAAAATGAGCATGCGCAGATATGCAATCACTTTTCCGGTCGGTGGTTGGAAAAATTACAAATATCAGTTTTACGAGCCGTTCGGACCTGTGTTTTTATGCCAAAAGCATGAGCAGCAAAGCAAGTACGGAAAGCTAGAGTTACAGACGTAAAATCTGTCATCACGAAATTGATTCTGGTGCAGTTATTTGGCCAGAGAATGAGTATTTTACCTTGCTTTGCTTTTACGGACTGTAGGAACCTGTACGAAGCTGTGAGAATCACTAAACTGGTCGATGATTCGTGGATAATTACTGACATCTCTATGATCAAAGACGCACTGAGTTCTGGTGACATTACTGAACTTCGCCATTGTCGGAGTGAGAGAATGCTTGCGAATTATCTGAGCAAGAACGGAGCTTGCGGTAATGAACTGATGGAAACCATGAAAAGCGGAGTTTATAAGCTGACAGACGACGATTGGCTGTGACCGCTGGTTGGGCCAATGTTAAATATAATAATAATACAGGTGCTGACGACTTGCTTAATATGATAATTTTTACAGATGTATGGTGTTAGTTGTTTGTTAGTATCATCTATTCTTATCTAAAAGTGTTTTAATCAGTCAAGAATTTTCTGAGACTGAGCGGCAAATTATATTGTTTTATTTGAGGTAAAACAAAAAAGATGTGTTTTTTGTTCAGGTGAGGGAATTCTATTTGTGGTGGGAGTGTTTCTCCACCAGACGCAGTTTCGTCTGGGAGGAGGAGTTCAACACGAGAGAGGCACCCAATGGCAAAGTGGCCAAATTGATGGAGAAGGAAAACAAGAAGTTGAGAGCAGCTGCGAAAAAAGAGTGGAACGAGAACGTCCGAGTGAGTCAATATTCATTACATAAGTGAACTCATGACATTTAACGCAGTCTGTGAAAATATTGCACTTTGATCAGTGGCGTGATTCAAAGTACTGTTATTGTATGTTGTTTGTATTTGTTGTAAAAGTAATATCTAATTCAATTCTACCTTCAAAACGTGGATCTGGATTCTGAACGAGTTCACTCTCCCGGTTTTCATTTAAATTAGGTTGTCAAACTTACATGCAAAATTGCTGAACCGATATATGCGATATTGCTGCACCGCAGAAGATTTTTAAAAATATTAACGGAAGGTTTCGATATTTGTAATGAATTTGTATGCGTATTTATTTTGCTACGAAATAATTTGGAAGTTATTTAAATGCCAAGTTTGATTTAATCATGTCAATAATGTTTAGATGCTAGTTTCTAAAGTGAAGAGACGAGATCCGCGAGTGAAAAAGTATCTGGTAATTAATTTCATTGTTTTGCTTCAAACTTTGTCTAGGCGAAAAAGAGGTCACGTTGTTTCTTTAATTTATAGGAAGAAAAAAGAATAGCCGATGAGAAGAGAGAAGCTGAAAGAAAACAGCGGGAAATTGAGAGGCAGAATCAGAGAATTCAGTTAGTTCCTCATTACTGTATTTTTTGAAAAGGAATTGATTTGTATTTAGCACAGAGATTTCGAGTGATTTCAAATCAAAGCAAGGATTGCACAGAATGTTCCAATCGTATTCTTCAAAAAAAAACTACAAAAAAGTGTTTTTTTTTCAAATATATGTAGTTTTTTGTGCGTGGTGTGTATGTGTTATACAAGGATTTGAAAGAAAAACTAGAACTTAAGCATATTTGACAATCATAGAAAAATAGGCAAATTGGAAGCGTTTTTTTGTGCAAAAATAACCAGAAAAAATTTTTTTTTTGAAATAGTATATACCCGGAATACTTAAGTAACTGGAGTAAAATTAGTTTTTCAGGTTGTGAATAAAAGTTTCCCGGCTTATCCTTTTTCTATAAACAGCCTAATATAAGCGTGCTCGCTCGATATTGGACTAAAAATGAAACATTTCTAACCGGTTGTCTCGTCGCTGGAACACCTTTTTGTATTTTTTTCTTGTTCGATTAACGAATGAAAGGGTTTTAATATGATATATCACTCGACCGAGTCCGATGATTATTGGTGGTACCTGATTTTGGCTGGAAAAACAAAAAAACTAAAAGGCACCCGATTACAAAGTTCCTGTCCATTTCAATAGTGGGAACAATTATGGTTACTGGTAGTAAAAACTAGATTTCTAATCCGTTTTCTTAAAACTAAGGTCGTCCATGGCTTTGCACTTGGTCTTTACGGTAAAATAAAACTTATACTAGTGTCATAAACTCATGTTTTTCGCTTTTAAAATTTTTGTAGACACGTTTCGTATTTTTTTTAACGAAAAACCCAAATGACAAAAAGGATAGCCGGTTACTATGCAAGTAGCACAGAATGTTGTGACCATGTTGTCTTCAGAAAACTACGGTTTCGAAAGTTTTTCTTTCCAAATTTGTGTAGTTTTTTCTGCTTGGTGTGATAAAAGGATAAGCAAGTAAAACTAGTTTTTGGAGTTTTTTAGCTTCACTTTGGGAACTGAGAAACAAAGTGAAGCTAAAAAAAACTCCAAAAACTAGTTTTACTTGCTCAAAATCAAGTTTTCAGGTCGTAAATCAGGCATAATTCAGCTGTTGTAAGCCTACTCGCTTGCTTAGTTCGCTCGAATTAAGGCGAAAAATCGAATATTTCAACCCGATTTTTCTCGACACTGGGAAATTTTTTGGTAAATTTTTAAATTTGGTTCGAATCACGACTGAAAGGGCTTTAATATGATATACCACTCGACCCAGTCCGATGATTATTGGTGGTACCTGATTTTGCGTGGAAAAAAAGGTAAAAAAAACACACACCGAATACAAAATTCCTCCCCTTTTTTCAAATGGTCGGAACAACAGAAGTAGTCGGTTGCTGTGGAAGCAGCGTAGAATTATCTGACCAAGCAACTTTTTTTAATTTCAAAAATAAGAGAAAAATTTAAAAGCGTTTCTGATTTTTTTTTGAACTTTTAGCTATTCAGAGGAGACTAAATTCGTCAATGAGCCATAAAAGTCAATCAATAATCCCAGAAAACGAAACAAATCAGACTGAGGGGACTTATTTGGTTTTTCAGAATCCAAATCACCATGACCAATCGGGTTTTATTGTGATACCACACTTGAGGTTGTCAAAATTAGCTGGAAAATTAAAAGAACGGACCCTACGCCATAGCCCCCCCCCCCCCTTATCAAGAGTGATCGGAACAACTAGGACAGCGTTGAGTTTATTACTCGAGCTTACGTGTCAGTGATATGCATTGTGAGTAAGCATTGCTCGCCTTCCTCAATCAACGATTAGTGAGAGCAAAACTAAAAAAGCTTACGGGGGTGCTTATTTTTTTTGGAAAATTGATTGTATGGTGGTTTGTTTCACTGAATCTTTCGCACGGAGAAAAGTATGACGTATTTAGGGAACAACAAGCAAGTGTAGAGGCATACAAAGCATCCGTAGCTGCGGCAGCTAGTGCGAAAGCTACAGAAGCGGAGGCGTTAACATCTGCTACTAAAATTGCACATGAAGATGACACTTCTGATTCCGAAGCAGAAGAAGTCGCGTACATGTGCGAACTGTGCGATAAATCTTTTAAAAATGAAAACAGTTTTTTGAACCATCAAACTTCGAAGCTGCACTTGAAAATGGTTGAAAAATATTCAGCCGAGTTAGAAGAAATCTCTGAAAGTGAAATTGATGACGATGATGAAAATGATGTCACAGAAACTGATGGTGTAAATAATACGTCAACAGAAAAAGAAAATGGAGCAAATTCTAACCAATCGGAATCTAGTTGCGATGAAAACGAATTCGACCCAAATGAACTCAAATGTTTATTTTGTAATAAAGACTTCAAAACTATGAATGCAAAAGAAAGTCACGAGAGAAGTAAGAAGCATAGAGATATTGTGAAGAAGGCGAAAATTGAGATGGAAAAAGAGTTGAAAGTAGCGAAGAGCTCAACTGTCAAAACATGCGCAAATTCAGACAGACCAATAAAACAGACTGAAACTTTGGATGAAAACGAGGATCACGGTGATAGTCCAAATGATGATGAGTTTCTGCATCGGTGAGTTTCACTCTTGTCAATTTAGAAATAAATATTATCTAGACTATTGTTTTAGTGAAAGCTGAAAACATTTTTTTGATTTTGAATGAATGCTGTAGAAAAGGCAGGTGGCAGTTTATTTTCTTTTTTATATAAATTCTTACAATTTTTTTTACTAAGGAGCTCAGTGTTGGGTGTACCTCCAGTGTAATAGCCCAATTTTTAACATCTGTTTACCCTGTCAAAATTTACTACTAAAAAGGCACTTCGAACAGTATGTCTTTAATTAGCTCTTGTTCTAATTTTTATTTTGATTGCTCTGAGATATTTGTAAAGTTGTCAATTTAGTTTTGCCGAGAGTGTGGATACTTCCAACGGTAAAAACTCCAAAAAGTCGAAAGGCGCCAAAATTCCAGAATTAGACGAAAATGATGACGATGGAGACAAAACAGTCGAGACAATTGAGTCAAAAAACGGTCATATCAAAAATGAACAGTCACAATCTCAAGCAGGTGAACGAAAACCCAAACAGAAGAAAAAGAAAAGTAAAAATAAACCGGTGAGTTGCTCTTTAAACATCGGGGTTATGACCAACAATATTCTGGACCAATAGCTTCTAAATTTAGTTTATAATTGTTCATCAGTAACGAAAATACAAAAGTTTGCTATACAGGCTGCTTTCTTTCGACTAAGCGATTCGAAGAAATAAAAGTTAAGCTATCAAATTATATACAGAAATTGTCTTGTTGCAGGACCTTGTCTCCAATTCGAACAATACAGAAGGTGGTTTGACGTGTGCAGTCTGCAAGTTCGAAGCGCCCTCTCGCAACGGTCTTTTTAAACACCTCAAAGACACAAAACACGCCATCATCAAATGAAATTTCTAATTCAAGTTTCACATTCTTCCTTTTTCTCAGTGAAATTTGCTTTGGAATGAAGAAATTTAGCTGCAATGAATCTTATTTAAGATGTCATAAATCTGATTTTTTTGTCATGGTTTTCGATGTCAGTCATTTTTGCCTCGTTAGTTTTTAGTAAGCTAGTAATTTTGAAAGTGTCTACTCGATTTACCTGGAGAAAAGGATTTTCTAGATTTGGTTTTGGTCGACTTTTTTTAGGGTGAAATAATCAATTTCCCGAACCCAAAAATATAGCAAATCAATTTTCTGCGCAGCTTTTTGAGCTCTTTTGTGAAGGTTTTGACTTGGATGTCGCGTTTTTTTGGGTGTGGTTTTCCCTAGAAATTGGTATATATTTACACCTTTAGATAAAAAAATTCAGAAATTAATACAGGCTTGAGGGGAGTTGAAATCAACGGTAAGTCATTTGGCGGGAGTAGAGTGGAGATTGTACGGTTTATCCGAGTTTCATACTTGTGTACAGTGCGTGAAATGCTATCTTAATTTTCAGAGTTTGACATGGCACAGCAACAAACTTACGAAGAGTACATTTTGGCCGAAGAGCAGAGAGACGGAGTGCGCATGACATGGAATGTATGGCCCACGAACAGACTGGAAGCCACTCGAAATGTCGTGCCCATTAGTGTCCTACACACCCCCCTCAAAAGCCGACCGGACTTACCCGAACTAAAGTACGATCCGATCATTTGTGCACGACCGACATGCAGAGCGATTCTGAACCCTTTCTGCCAAATCGACTACGATTCGAAAGTGTGGGCTTGTAACTTCTGCTTTCAACGTAACTCGTTCCCGCCGCAGTATGCGATGATTTCACGTGAGAATCAACCGGCCGAGATCATCCCCCAATTTACGACTATAGAGTACACGTTGCCCAGAGCGCAGGTGTTGCCGCCTATTTTCCTGTACGTCGTGGACACGTGCCTGGATGAAGACGAAATGAATAGTCTGAAAGAGTCACTTCAAGTGTCAATCGGACTTTTGCCGACCAATGCGCTTGTAGGTTTTATCACTTACGGCAAAATGGTGCATGTTCACGATCTTTGTTGCACGGAACTGTCGAAGAGTTTCGTGTTTCGAGGAACTAAGACCTACACAACCAAACAGCTGCAGGAGATGTTAGGGATTGGACAGGCGTCCCAAGGTGGTATGATGCCTCACGCGACACCTGGGCAGCGAGCCCCGGTTCCTCCCCAGTTTCAACCGGGAGGTGCCAGACCTGCGCAAAATAACCCAGCTGGGAACGCACCAGCTATTCCGTCGAATCCTTTTATCCAGCCGATTGAGAAATGTGACCTGGCTTTGGATGATTTTGTGAGGGATATCCAGAAAGATTCATGGCCAGTTCCGACTGGAAAGCGAGCTTTGCGATCGACTGGCGCCGCGATGGCTATTGCGGTGAGCCTGCTGGAAATGTCGTTCCCAAATACTGGCGCAAGAATTATGCTGTTTACCGGTGGACCATGCACCCAAGGACCGGGTATAGTCATTGACGATGATCTAAAACATACAATCAGATCACATAACGATATTATGAAGGATGACGCGAAATACTTGAAGAAAAGTACGAAATTCTTTGACCAACTCGCAAGGCAAGCTTGTCATAACGGGCATGTGATTGACTATTTTTCGGCCGCACTGGATCAAACTGGGTTGCTGGAAATGTCAACCTGTTTCCGTCTAACAGGAGGCGTGGTTGTCCAGGGGGACTCATTTGGAACTCAATTATTCCACTCGACGTTCAAGAAGTTCTTGACAAAACCAGAAAACGAGGACTCGAAATTGGCTTTCGGAGCAACCTGTGAGGTCCGCATGTCTAAAGAGCTGAAAATTGCAGGATGTGTTGGAAATTGTATCTCGATGGAAATCAAAAGCCCGTCGATTGCTGAAACTGATATAGGGGAATCGGGAACGGTTCAGTGGAAAATATGCGGTATAACTCCGACTTCGACCTTCGGTTATTTCTTCGACGTTGCCTCGCAACAAACGAACCAACCTATGCCGCCGGGTGGTAGAGGCTACATTCAGTTCGTGACTCAGTATCAACACTTATCGTCCTCGCGACGTATTAGAGTCACTACTATTTGTCGTCCCTGGGCCGAAGTGCAAACGAACTTGCAATACATTGCAGCCGGGTTCGACCAGGAAGCGGCAGCTGTTGTTATGGCCCGCTTGGCGGTCCACCGAGCCGAGACAGAAGAAATACCAGACGTGCTTCGCTGGTTAGACCGACAGCTCATCAAACTGTGTCAAAAGTTCGGAAACTACTCAAAGGAAGACCCGAATTCGTTTACGTTGCCCGCGAACTTCAGCTTGTATCCGCAATTTATGTTCCACTTAAGACGGTCCCAGTTCCTGCAGATTTTTGGGTTCTCGCCCGATGAGACAGTCTTCTACAAACATTGTTTGTATGCTGAAGAAACTGGACAAAGTGTAATGATGATTCAGCCGTTGTTGTACGCGTACAGTTTCCAAGGACCAGAGCCAGTTTTACTGGATAGTACGAGCATAAAACCGGATCGAATCTTGCTCATGGATACGTTTTTCCAGGTGGTCATTTACCACGGAGAGACTATTTCTAAATGGGTACAGTTTGGATATCAAAACATGCCTGAGTATGCAAATTTGCGACAGTTGTTACAGGCGCCTGTTGATGATGCGCATGAGATTATAGCAAACAGGTTCCCGTTGCCGAGGTTCGTCCAGACGGAACACGAGGGATCCCAGGCGCGATTCCTCATGAGTCGCGTGAACCCCTCGCAGACTCACAATAATTACTTGACAACCAGTGGCGAGTCTTCAATGCCGATTTTGACGGATGATGTCAGCTTCCAAGTGTTTTTCGACCACTTGAAGAAATTAGCAGTCGCTGCTCAGAACTGAAGACTGAAATGTACGAAACTGTTTTCTTGATCTTTTTTCCCTGGCCCTTTCGACGATGTTTCTTGACTTAATCAAGATTTTGCAATAATTGTCTTCGAGTGGTTATTTTTATGTGAAGTTTGTCAAGCTTTCAGAAAAGATTTTTCGATTTGCATTTGATAGCATTGAAAATTTAAAAAAGATTCAAGATAGCATTGAGAGTTTTTAAAAGATTCAAGATAGCATTGACAATTGTAAAAAGATACGGAAAACAGCTAAGTACATGTGTAATAAAGTTCAGTAGGATTGCAATGTCAACGTGTCCTATATCATTTTGGCGAATATATATTATAAATTGTAAAGGTTATGATACTAAATAATATGCTTCATAAATTTCATCAATTTATCAAATTAATTGCGATATTGTAAAAGAATATTGCCGTTGTTTTAGAGTTTCTCAATTTGTGTAGAAATGTGGTTTATGTAAATTCCGAGTTTTCTGGAGTATTATCGGAGAAATGGGTATCAATTTGAATTTTGCGTAACACTTTTGGAACAAGTAGTAGAATGTGTATTATCAGGTTCAAGCAGCAGCCAAATTGAATGTTCTCCTTATTTGCACATTTTTCTCAGACGATCATAACATGCGAATAGCTAAAATATTCAAGTCATATGAAGTCAAGTCAACCGGTTTTCGGGAAGTGTTTCATGGTATAATAACACAATTATAGGGTCAGATAATTGCAGATAACATTGGTGTCAAATAAATCCAGGGTCTTAAGTAAAATGAGATTGGTTTTTGCAAACTGACTTGATCTGCTAATACCAGTCGCGTGGATGTTTTTTTTTATGATTATGGTCAGAAAATTCTGTGCTACATGCACAGTAACCGGCTATCCTTAATAACTTTTTACGCTTGTGATAAGCAAGCGTTATCAAACTGGAATATGGACTTTTTTCGGGTTAACAAGTTAAACAAAATCAGTTGAATCACTTCACTTTTCTTATTGTCTTCACTTCTCTTCTTGCCTTCTCTTAGCATGTTCCAGATGGCTTCCCCCTTGGCCTGGAGGTATAGCAATTTCCTGCGTACCCTGCGGTCTGGGGTTCGAGTCGTGGTCGGATCTTGTTTTTTTTAAGTATCAAGGAAATTTAAAAAAATAAGTCTGGGGTTCGAGTCGGATTAAAGGAAATTTAAGTATTAAGTTAAAAAAAAATTGTTGGTTTTTCGTTTATTCTCTCAGGTTTTGTCGGCTAAATTGGCACAATGCTTTTTTCTTGTGCTGTAGACAATTTTCCTAATTGTGGCAAGTGCAAATATCATGTTTATTTCAAGGGGGGACATGAAAGATTAAAAAAAAAATCATAAATTTTTTTTTGGGGTTCTGTTAGTGTTTGTTGCCACATCACTGGTTCTTTTTGCTTTAAGTAACTTATTGATAGCCCAAGTGCTGTTCATTCTAGTTTGAAGGGGACTTGAAAGATTGAAAAGAAAATCAAAAAAGCATTTGTTTTTGTTTCAAGTGGTTTTTGCTCATATATTGTTGGGTTAAGCGCCCCAGAACTGATTTTTCTTGTGCTGTAAACAACTTTCGTTGTAGTTGCAAGCGCAATTGTTGTTTAAGGTGGGACTTGAAATTTTTCTATATAAAGTTCTTTTTTTTCCGGCTTTGTTTCTTCGTAAATTTTGTTCCGTTGTGGCTGATATAAAATTCAAGTGTCTGGCATGTTTGCCTGGAATTAATTTCTATCGATAATTGAAAGTTTGTATGACCTAGTTTTTTTCAACAGTTTTCTTTTTCAGCTTTTCATGTTTAAATTTATGTTAGTGCTCCGCTTCGCCTCTTCGTGTATCGAGCTTGCGGTTTTTGAAATACATGTAAGTTAGTAGCAAAAGTGTTCCTCGAGAAAAAGTTGGTAGAAAGGTGGAGGGGTGGGCTAAGTCTAGATTCGTTGGAATATTTCGTAGGTTACTTAGTCTAGGTGTTTCTGACGCTCGTGGTGGTTTATTAGGTTGTTCACTTTTTCGTTGGAAATGCTTCTGGCACGTTGAGCACTTTTTAGGCCTTGAACTTAAAAAACGAAAAGTTGACAAACTTTTTGTGTTTAATGGACGCCAAGGGTAAACGTAGCCTCGTGTGGAAATTGTTCAAATACAAAAAAATGTGACTATTGTTCAAAAAAGCGCTGTTCGTGTAATGATGAGAGCAAGTCAGGTACTAGACTTTTCCCCCCTTAAATGACTTTAGGAACAGAATGGTATAATGTGTAGGAATGGTAAGTTTCATACATGCTCAACTCTTCGAAAAAGCAAATAAAACTACCTTCATTTGGGTAGTAAATAGGTGTAGTACGTTTTTGGTGTTAGTTTCTTTTCAATTAATGTTCTTAAAAATGTTGATTTCTTTGCGTAGTCGTGATTTTCGGCCTAGTTTCCATCAGTTCTTTTCTTTTTTTAACGAATTTTGTTTTATTTGGTACTGTTCTTTCGGCTTGTTAAGCATGGATTTAATTGATTTTGAATTTTTTTTTTAAATATTGCTGAAAGTTTTTAAGTTCGATTAAACGATTTCAGCGTACATTTTATGGCATAATGAACGTATACTGCGTTGTTTTGAGGATGAAAGTTCCTGTTCGAAAAAATTAATTTTTTTTCAATTACGAGAGCAGGTGTCTTGAAATTGAGAACAATAGTATTTCCAGTAAGCAACTTTTTCTTACACTTTTTAACTGTTATTGCTTTAAACATGCTTTTTTATTGAACCCTCACAACCTCAAGGTTCTTTTCCTCTTGACCTGGAGTTAACGACGTCGCCTTTGTACCATAAAGTCTGGGTTTAAACTCTTTGCCGAACTTAGTTTTTTTTTCCGCAGCAGTTGAAAAAAAAATCTGTAAAAATTGTATCGTTGGAGTTCCTTTATTCGGCTAAAATTTTGGCGGTTTAGTTGCCGCATCACAATCTTGTTGGTCCTGTTTACAACTTTCAGTGCAAGTGCAAGTGTTGCCATTGGTAGGTTCAGGAAGTTGGGCTTGAAACATTTTGAACTTTTTAAAAATAAATCTGTCTTTCGGCTCAACAGGTGTCTGCGCAAAGGTTATCGGCTTAGTTGCCACATCACTGTTTTTTTGTGCTGTAGGCAACTTCCTTTGTAGTTGAAATTGTAATTTTTGTTCACTCTAATCTCAGGTGGGAATTGAAACTCTAAATATATTTTTTTTATGAAATGATAGTTTTTTTCTGCTCTACTTGTGTCTGCTCAAAGATGGCAGTGTTTATTTCCTTTTCGTAAGTTGTTCCGTTGCTGAAATAATTTTCAAATTTTGGCATTTCAGTCTAGAGTGAACTTCTATCGAGACATGCAAAAATTTAAATTTTGGTAGAACTAGTTTTCAACGTTTTCCATTTTTTTCACCTATGTTTTTTGTGTTTTTGTTTTGTGTTTAATCGCAAGTGGTTTAATCGCTTATGTGTATAAGTCTGTGATTTTCAATTTTTTTGAAAAATTTTCAAAAATTGTTTGCACTTAAATTTGACGTTTTACAGTTGGCCTTAAGAATTCTGAAATCAATTTCATTTGCTGACAAGAAAGCAAATTACGGTCTCTATGACGAAACTGTAAATATTGCTGAACAACTTGATGCTCTTCGTTTCAGAGATTTTAGTTAAAAAAATTCCCTGCGAACTATAAAAAAAAATACTGTTTGTTCCATATTTATCAATTTAGGTTTCCATTATCAAAAATTGTCCTTCAGAAAAAACATTGATCTCATTAAACATTTCGCGCTAAGGATTTTTTTGTTGAACTCTTCAGGTGATTGTAATTTTTTCGGACTTTTCATAACTCGTTTGAAACAAATTTTGTTCTTTTTTTAGGAGCGAAGAATCACTTACCTGTCGACTGTACCTTGGAAATGACGCTTCTATGATCAAAGTAAGTCAATACAGTGATGATTTGCCAGTTGAGTTGAAAAGTGATGATATATATATTTATAGTGTCAGCTTGAAAAAGTGTTGTAGCTTTTTTACCGTATCATTTGTCTCTTGCTTCAAAACTATTCATCCGTTAGAAGATAGAACTTTTTCTCGTGTGCGGGAATTAATCGTTAGTAACCTTGAGTACAACAATGAAAGAGAGCCAACATGTTTTCAACATCATTAACTTTTGCTCTAAAAGAAACACAAATCGTATGATTCTAATCCCTTGCATAGAAATTGAGATAAGTTGAAATTCATATCTAAAAAAATGGTAATCCAACAGGCTCATACAGAGGAAAAAAGAAAGAGAAAGAAAAACAGAAAGGAAAAGACACGTCAGACAAAGAGCAAGAGAAAGAGAGAAAAAAAAGAAAGATAGAAAGAGAGAGCGAGCGAGCGAGAGAGAGAGAGAGAGAGAGAGAGAGAGAGATAGAGTGAGCCAGAGACAGAGGTGATAGAGCAATTTTGAATGAGAGTCTTCCTGTCAAGATAGCAAAACTAAATTGCTTATTTTAATCAGCATAGTAAAATCAGCATAGCTAAGTTATTCATCCTGCAAAATTTGGTTACCTTGTAGCAATGTCAAGTTAGCTTTCAAATTTGAATTTTAAATGTGAGAAAATGTAGTTTATTCAGTAGAGTAGAAGAGAACCTTTATGCGTAAGGGACCGTTTCGGATCAAAGGTTAATTTGAGAGAATTATGGCCTTGAACTAAAAGAAAGAAAATAAGATGAGAGAACAGCGACGTTCAGAGTCAAAAGTAGAATGTTCAAAATTGTCGCTTCGCTTTTTACTCTTGAGTTAGGTTTAATTAGAGGAACCCTTCATGGTAGTAGGAGAATAGAAAAATACAAGCAAAGACAGTTAGAAAATTCCAACAGGCTGCAAATCGAATGCAGTATAAAGCCGAGGCACAGTGAGAAATTCGTTCGACTTAAAAGCGACCGAAAGGAAACAGACAGCACGGCAGAATCAAGCAACATAGCTCGCTGAGCAAAAACAGAGCAATGTGAATGCGATAAAAATCATTCAGTGTAAGAGAATCTAATTCCCAAAATGGACAAAATACTCGGGATCTTCGACGCAGAATACGAATCTTAATGAACAATGGTAGAGAAGACGAACAGCTCGAGGAGCAAGAACCGAGAGCAAAGTGAACGCGACCATGAGAACGGTTAAACGTACTTGGCATCATGGACACAGAATTCAAATCCTGATAAACAAGGGCAGAAAGTGAACTAGAAAGATTGAAAACATAAATGGTGTTAATGTCACTACCAATTGACCAAATGAGTAACTCGCAATCGTACAGCCGAAACGGGGATCTTCACGAAAGAACATAGATAAAGATAAAAGATGTGTAAGTAGCCATCCGTAAAACAAGTCACCTGAAAAGGTAGAGAGGTTGCTCTCCATTGAGTAACACTCTACAGGCGGGCGGCACATGCGATTCTGATTGGCATACTTAATCCTGATTTCAAAAAAAAAATTGCAGTCCACATTCCTAAAGCATCAGCATACATGGAGGGTGGAATAGACCCATGACTGAGAGTATAAGATGAGCTATACTTT